TCTCGCGAGCACTCGAGGAAACGGCGGAGCGGGACCTGAGCGGCGGCGGACCCCCGTTCCCGGCGGTGCTCCCTGTGGGTGCACGTCCCCGAAGCAGCGCCGGCTGCAGCCCCGGGAGATCCCCTCACCCCTTCCATGGAAAGGGGCCTGTTTGTGGTTTCTCTGTGTTACTTCTTTGAAGGACCGTAGAAATCGGAGCTGGAGAAGACCCATGAAATAACTGTTTCCACATGCCCTCACCCACACAGCTGGGCTGGGAAAAAGCCCGTCCTCAGAGCAGCCTCTGCAGGACCAAGGGTTGTGGGAGCGGGCGATGGGGGTGGCTCCTGCCGGGACCAAATGGGGTTTGTTTGGGCTGCTGCTCCGTGGTGGGGGCTCCTGGCAGGACGTGGTGCAGTGCCAGGCCAGGAGGGGAAACTTCAGACCAAGTGCAATGTTTTCAAAACTGTTTTGATCACTGAAAGTGTCTTCCAAAAGCACCTGAGAAAGGGATGTGCGGGTGCTTGTGGTAGCTCGGTGCCTCATCATCTCCAGTCCCTGTGAAAACCATTGCTGGGTGGCTGACTGCACCGTTCATCCCTTTCAGAATCTGCGCTTTTGTTGTCAGTTGAGGAGAGCACCCGAGTTACGCTTTCTGGTGTCTTTTTTGTCCCTGTGACAGCAGGGCCTGGATTGGGTATTGGCAGAGACCGAGACCTGTGATGGTTTTGGCTAACAGAATACCCCAGTGGGATGGGGCCGTCAGAGCGAAGGACGAGGGATGTTCACAAGGAGAGAGGAAGCCAGCTTTACCGAGACCATGTTTTTATAGATTCTGAGGAGCTCCCGTTCCTGTGGGCTTCCCCATCTTTTCTGCTTTCCACAAGTAGGTCAAGTGATACCGCTGGAGACCTTTCTGCTGCTCAAATGGGGTGTGCAAGGAACCGTTATCCGGACTCCAGGGAAATCTGCATTTCAGCAAAATAGAAGTGAGCTCATCGGTTGGGAGAAATGCGCCTTCCCTCAATTGCAAAGGGTATAATAAAGCATGGTGTGCCCTCAAATCTCATGGCTTTATTACCCTTAAGAGCTTTGAATTCATTTTGGCTTGAGCAAATCCACATCCTGATTAAAATCCCAGTCTAATAAGCTGTTGACTCCAAATAAAGGCAGGATGGGAATAAACAATGAAGAAAAGTTGGCTCTTCCTCCTGCCCCAGTGGAAGGCTTTCTCCAGGCAGGCAGCCAGCAGTGATATAACCCCGTAAAGTGCTGTAGACTGGTAAGAAAGCTGGGATATCAGCTGAGCTTCCAACCAAAATGAGCTCATGCTGGCCTGCCGGCAAGTCCTGGGGTGAGGGTAAAGGCAGCCTGGAGGCTTTCTTACCGTCAAGTTAACGCTTAGTTGGCTGATGGTAGGTGATGACTGTACGGATGCTGTCAGATACTTCAGAGGCCACGTCATGCCACTTTACCAGTTTTCACTGCAAATGGTGGTCAGCCAAGTTGTCCCTGACCCGTTGAGGTCTAGAAGCATGTTCTTGAATGGGTATTGTGCCTGACCCCGTGCTGAGCACTTGTCAAGCCACGTTTGGTGATAAGCAAGCACAGTGTCCAGGCCTCTCTTGTAGCAAATCATGGTCCATCCAGGTCTCCACAGGTGCTACAGATGCTGTCTTGCAGGAGCCCTCTCTCTTCCTTGTGTTAATATGCAGAAAGCGCAGGTCTTTCAGCTCAACAAAAGAATTTGTGAATGAAAGGAGAGGACTGTGGTTAGCTGAATAAGGCCTGTGAGGTGACGCCGAGCAATTCGCGTTTTGTCTGGGAGAGGGTGGTGGTGCCTGTGACACCCGGCCAGCTCACTGCAAGTCAGCAAAGCAGTCCCAGCTGTGCTTGGGCTGATCATCTGGTTTAAGAAAAGTGGTCACTGAATCGCTGGGTTGAAAGTACTGAAGTTTTTTATTTTAGCAGTAAGAACTTGCTGGAAGTGATTCCACTGGGAAGAGTTTGTGGTTCCTCGGAGCCTCCTCACCTTGGTGGCTCATGCAGCCCCCTGAGCAGCAGAGTGGCCTTTCAATTCGATTTTTAGTACAGCATTCGAGCAGGTTTGAGGAGCTCAAATAATTTAGCGTTGTGCTATCCATTTGAGTCTTCTGGTGTTTGAGTTTGGAGATTGGGCTGGGATGTTGGTCACATTCCAGCATCTGGAAAAATCTGTGTCTCTGTGGGAAACCTTGTGAAACCCTTAAGGGATTCTGTTTTAAATACCGTAACACCAGCATCCTAAGAGCCTTCACGCTTCATTATGTTGACTGGAGTTCCAGCAGGTCCGTTCATCTGAGCTTCTGAATGTTTTGTTCCTGCTTCAGTGAATTGATACTTGAGTTTGTGGTGGAAATAAGCAGGACGTGAGAGTCAGGAGAAAAAAGGAACGTGCCCTTGTTCTGCTTAGTCAATCTGTTATCAATTAGTAAAGGCTGAGGTTTGCATCATTTGAGTGTTACGCTGGCATCTCGTCAAGGGTCATCTTTGGTTTCTGCGAGCAACGGGCGAGGACTTAAGTCAAGGAATTGCCCAATTCTGTTATTTGCTTGTTGTCTTTCATAGAAGAATAAAAAAACCTGGGTTGGGTGTTGTTTTGTATTCATCACCAGTAAAAGCCTGGTCATACGGTCTGTGAATAACCTGCCACTACTAGGGCTGATTGTGTAGCATTTTAAGGAACAGGAAGGTAATTTGCACCCCAGCAAATTTAAGTAAACAAAACCTCAGAGCTGCTTATGGAAGAGCAGAGGGAGTTTCAAACCTCGTGGGTTTGCGTTCTCGCAAGCAGGTTTGGGATCTCAACATCAAACTTGATGCTGCAGCCATAGATGTGATGGCCGAGGCGTAGTTATTAATGCGTAATGTGTCTGTGTCTGGAGAGACGTCAACTGGTTTCACATAGAAGTGCCCTTTCACAGCCAATGTGTGCCCCTATTTAGGGATAGGGAGCTGTCTTAGTTCACAACTATCAATAAGCACTTCGTAGACAGTTAAGTTGCAGCAGTGGAGCCTACTAATTTAATCTTACATACTTTCTAGTATTGCTGAAATGACTTGAAGTGGTCCCATGAACGCCCAGCCGCGGGGGCTGCCTTGGCAGCTTTAGCAGCGTTTGGGTTGCGGTGCGGGTTGTTGGGTCACTCCTCTCTGATTTCTTCCTCTCTTCCCTACAGGTGTACATCATCAAAGTCACCTGGTCCAATGGGTCCACAGAAGTCATATACCGACGGTACAGCAAGTTCTTTGACCTGCAGGTAAGCATCTCACCCGTTCTTGGGGTTTTGACTTTGGAGGGTCGAAAGCTGTGGTCGCTTGAGAAGCGTGGTTTCTGCCTTATGCTAAGCATGCCCTTTGTAATCTGCCAGAAAATGTTTTCATCTGAGGAAACTTAAATGCAAATCCTTGAAAAAAGCAAGAACAAGGCAACCTCGAAAGCTGAGCTCTTTGCTCCAGTGCTTCTTGTGTGTCGGTGGGGACACCCTGGGGTTTGGCGTGCCCCAGTGTTAAAGTTCTGCTGTCTGGACTAAACGCACGCAGGGCTGCGTAGGGGTGTTTCAATTCCTGCAACCGAAATCTGTGCAAGTGGTGGGGATTTTGTTGGGGTTTTTTGTTTGCTTTGGGGGGATTTTGTTAAAGTTAGGCCCAAATTGCATTCCTGTGGAGCTAATACCATGCCTTCCCCAGCTGCTGGGAAAGCGGCAGAACAGGGCTGCTGCTGAAGAGCACCGATTCCCTGGGTGCGTGCCGCGCTGGCTGGTGTTCTGGGGAGCGGGGAAATGCCCGCTGCCGTGCCCTGCCAGCCCAGAGGGCAGCTGGCAGCAGCCGCTTTAGCAATTACCTCCTGGTGCAGGGGGCAGCCGGGAAGGAAACGGAGCCGAGAGGGAGGGAGGAGGCTGGAAAGGCAACTGGGACAGGCTGGGTTGCAGAAAACTGAAGCTGGTGTTCTGGGCGAGCAGGCGAAGGGTGTTTTCCACCCCCTCCTTGGTGGAGATGAGCCAAGGGGTCTGGCTGAGCTTCATGAGCCAAAACACAAACTGAGCTGCTGGAACAGGCTCTGTGCAGATGAGAAAGGAAAATGCATGAAGTGATCTATGGACTGGCAGCAGCTGCCAGAAGAGCCACTGGCACGGCCCTCCTGGCCCGTGCGCGGGACTGGGAGAGGAGCTGGGCACCCTCTGCCTCCAGCGACCCGCTCGCATGAAGCTGGGCATCGCTGCAGGCTTTATTTGAAAGGGTGCTGTGGTTGCCCGGGAGTGAGGATGCCTTTCTGAAATCTCTGCATCCAGACACACATACGCTGCTAAAATTACAGCACATCTGGGCCTGCCCAGCAAAGCAAGCCCATGGGGAGCCAGATGGCTTTCCCAGGTTCAGCTGGTCAGCTGGCTTCGGGTCAGCCTGCGAAGCCTGGGATCGTGCGAGACGGCTGCTCACATCGGTGGTGCCCTACCCGACAGGGCACCTTCTGCAGAGCCGTGGCCATGGCCGTGAGGGTGACCATGCTGAGTAAGCCCTGGCCAGCCAGCGAGAGCCCGGCTTTGGCAAGACCCTGGGTGTCCTTGCCCTGCCCCGTGCTGCTGTCCCGCAGCATCGTGCTGGGCAGGGTAAAGTCGGGTGGCATGGGTGGCTGCTGGTGCAGGCAGGGGTTAAGCTGTGTGCAGCTGCTTGTGTAACCAAGGAAATACTAAAGCAAATAAACAGGGAACAGCTGTTGGGCCGCGGCCAGGGCTGGAAGGAAACGGAGCTCGGCGCTTCCTTCTCCGCAGCATCTCCTCTTCGCTGGTGCTCCACGGTGGTGGCCAAGCTCACGCCGTCGTTTGCTGCAAGGGGGCGCAGTCTTTTGGGGTTTATATGTGATAAACTGGTGCCTGCAGCTGTGCCATTTCCCTGGGCTGCCTTGCCCCTTGTAGGGAAGGACATGTAGGGA